GTGATAGATTTATTTTCTGTTCATGTTTCAAATAAAACCAATGATTAAATACAGCTCCACTTTGACTTTTTATTCACTTGTTTTTATCAACCATCGTTAAAAATACTTCGGCGAATTTTTATTTTGTATTATTTCATCTCATATTAATTTCTCAATCATAGTATTTCATACTTTTCTACCATTTAATTGAAATTATAAGACATTATATAATTTCTTCTGCTTCCTTTTAAAATCAATAAGTTGGAAAAATGATCGAATCCACATTTTTTAGGTTAAATAAGATCAGTGAATAGCAAAAAGGTTAACTAGAAAAGGTGGTTAATTATTACTTTGGAATTAATTGCCAAATACGTCCAAGCACAGAACAAAGAATGGAAGAGTAAGAAGAGAAGAAATATTAATATGTTTAACTAAGAACAGATCGTTTTACACATCTCTTATCTTTAGAGAAATGCTTCCATTAGTTATTTTGTAAATATATTCATAAAATCTTATGGCTATGACTGCAACCATCCACCATACTCTTTTCTGAATTTAAGATTTGTAATTTTTTTTTTAACTATCAAAGAAGTTCTACAGTTCACTTCTTTCAGTTATTTTAAATCTATTGTTCGCTCCATCTGACTAGCGAATATTTATTCCAAATAATTATAAAATTGCGAAATAAGCTAAGGACAAACAAAGTTGATATGGTTATATTTAGCATTACATCCGTTTCGATGATGTTAAATTAGAATCATTCCAGTGATTCTAATTTCGGCAGCATTTACCTTATCAGCGAAATTTTTATGAGATTTAATAAAATAGAAAAGTGAAGTAGAATCTGACTTACAGTTTTAACAGGAAAACATTTGAAATTCAATACCAAACTAAAAATTACTTTAATCGAAAAAATGTTAAGAACTTATTCAAGAATATTTCGTGGATATTGTTTTATGCTTTCCGTCTAGGCTTAGAATAGTTGAATAAATGCTTCGATAATGATATGATGACGCCATAAAAGCCTTCCTTCCTAGAAAGGGCTTGTTGGTGCAGTCGTTACAGAGAAATGCCTATCCAACATAGACACAACATATATACACAGACAATATCTCAGTGCACTCGATCTACGTACACATAGACTTACACGAGACAACGACAACGATGGCGACAACCGACATCGGTTCCATTCTTTTTCATTCTGTCTGTGTAAGTAAGTAACTACATGTATATTTCTATATGTGTGTAAGTGCGTGTATATATGTGTATTATGTGTGTATGTATATGTGTGTGTGTGTGTGTGTATGGGTGTGAGTGCGTAGCTTTGAGCTGATGTAACCGATTGGATGGGCTGTCCGGGAAAGCAGTGATTGTTTAGCTCCATCGATCAGGTTGCACTCTTTTGCAGATGTATTTTTCGGGCAGTACCACATCTAAACTGGCAAAGCTCCTTTTTATACATTTCGAAACATTTCTCTTTGCAATCACTCAATTATTTCATTCTCTCTCTACTTTCTTTATATCTTAAATACGTATACTTAGTGATTTTATTTTCATCATGAAAATTACGTAGATTCCTTCAAAACATGAACCTTGTAGAAATGGACATATATGATTTTGATGAACAATTAATTTGTCATTCCTAACAGTTACTATTAAGAGATAGAAAATGTGCTGCGTTGAGAATTTTATATTAATGAAATTTATGTTACGAAGAATGATATTCTATTTTTCCCTTCTTATCCATCAAATTTAAAACATTCCAAGTATCGCAAATGACTACCACGGTCGGAATGTTCCATGCAGTTTATTGGAAGCAGTTTTTATAACATTTTATTTGAATTTTAAAACCATGAATTAGCAGGATCATTTTTATTTTGTTTCATAATTAATCTTTTAAAAATTTCTTTCTTATATTAATAAATATATAGCGAGCACTTCTTTCAATTTATCATCTCACTAAATTAATAATCATAGTTGTGGAAGTGAATTAGCACCTTTTTGCAATAATTACATTTGAAAGAGCAAGTATATTTTGCTCATGTGCATCAATTATTATTCAAATAATTTTGAAAAAGTAATATGAACTATTTTTGTATAAGAGACAACGAAAGCTTTATAAAATATTTAAAATTACTATGTTTGTATTAGAAAAGAGAAAAATAGCATGGGAATAATCATCGCCATATACGAAAATTTTGCACAGAAAACCAAAAATTATTTTTTGGAAACTTTTAAATATTATTTGTGTGATGAAATTAAATTTCATAAACAGGATGATATTCGATAAGTTGAGAATTCTCTTTGAAACTCGTAAAATATTTCTAAAACTTTGAAAAGACTGAGAATTATCGCTTGCTATATTCATTTAGAAGGAAATTAATGCTGTGAGGACAACGATTCTCCATGTGTACAAGAATAGTTTCATACAACTGATTGTATGAAGTTATTCATTAATATTGATATTTTTCTGGAATATTAAATCAAAAAGCTCCACTATTAGAATAAAACTTATAGACGACTGATAGCAAATTGCATTGACCAAACATATTGCTGATTTAGATTTTTACAAACTTCAAAACTGATGCAAGTTTCATAATCGGAAGATATTTCGTCATTTGTTAACTTTTACCATTGCACTGATAAAGCCTACAGGATAAAGTGAAAAGAGAGAGTAAAGAAGGGAAAAACTTATTTAAATAGATTTTTAGATTCTTAAACACAAAAAAATACGAGAAATAAGGTGATATTTGATTTGATAGAAATGAGCAAAAGGTGATTCTTCATTTGAAAGTTTTTCTTCAACATACATAATCTGTAGATTGTTAAATTCTTTCAGTTGCACATCATAGGAATAATTAATCAAAAAACGGATTTTCTTAAAATAATTCGAGATCCCATCCGGGAATGAGAATTAAAGATTCAAGATTTCGGGAGTTTAATGTGCATATTTACTGAAAAAGCTGTTTTTTTGTTAGTAATTAAAAAATATGTTATCGCCCAGTATAGTTTTTCGGAATTAATTTAATTGGTTCCTATGGTCGTGAAGATCACGAACAGATGAATATACTATTTAGATGTTCATATGATATCATAGGATTGATAATAGTAATTTTTCAATTAAAATTTTTATTAAATCATTTAGGCTTCCATATGTAGTAGCACAATTTTCGTCTTCGGGAGCCATCTTCCCTCGTATTCAAAATTCTCATTCAACTATCCTTTTCCATTCACGATTTACACATCACGGAAAATTTTTCAGTTTTCGAGTAAGTTAAATATTTTGGCTTTTAAATGAAGACTTTGTAAAATATTACAGCGCATGATAAATTCTTGTTCGTTTGCTAATCCATAACATCCAAAGCTAAGATTTTCACCAAAAAATCTGTAGTTTCAAAACAGAATTTAAGTTATATAGATCTAGAATCTAAAAGTTGAATTTTTGAATTTCAAGAAAAGTGGCTTTTCTTTGAAATCGATTACGGTATTCATCATGTGTCATGCATTGTCATTTGAAAAGGTGTTGTTTGCAGACAATGCCTCTTGTAGGATTGATGCGCAAAGAGCGCTATGCAATCGCACCTTTTACATTACCGTAAATTGACCATGAAATGTTCAGGAAATCATTTTTTGTTTACTTAACAGCAAGCTTGTTACTTTTCACGAAATTATCTACTGTTCCTTGACATTTTATGCTTCGTTCAGCAATTAAAATTCTGAGATGCTATAACCTTTTTAAATAAAAGTAGGTACCGTAAAGGGAACCGCGATACCATTTCATAAGTTTAATTTCTGTTTCAATTTCTGTTTTCTGATTTGCGTCTTATTAATCATGCAATTTTTAAAATTTCATTCTGATTAAGTCTACAAATTCGTTTGCTGAATTCTAAGTTTGTCTATTTCTCATTGAAAAATCCTTTTTCGACTTTTGTCAGTTTTTATATACTTCTGCAAGCAGCAGCTGATACTACCACCGCTAGTGACAATGATAGTGCAGTGCGTGCTGTACTGCTTGCAATTAAATACAAATAATAATGAGGGACTGCTTTTGTACTTCATTTTTTGTCTTTACCAAGAGAATGAGAAAACTGAATAAATTTCAGAATTTGGCTATTTTTTCTTAAAGGGAAGAAATGATTATGTTGAAAGTAAAAATTGTTTTTTAGTGGAAATTCCTTTCCTTTCACTGCTTTGACATGAACGTATATGAAAAATGATGCGTCGTGATTCGTCTGTTTTTCCTCCAGCAACGGATCAAAATAATTACCGATTTTACAAGAAGGATTTGTTGTTCTTGAAAGATAATAAATCTTTTGTTCCCTTAATGTAACGATCACAACAGTACTAATTACATTTATAGCTTCCTCGAAATTCAAATTCTTTTCTTCCATGAAGTCTTTGAGAAGATTCAATCCATTTTTCCAAAATTTCCAAATCCTCAAACTTCATGTAAGTATCGAGTAATTAAATTGGAAAAGTTATAGCATTCCTTCTTTACTTTTCACAAAACATCCGTGCAGAATACTTTCCGATGAATTATAAATGATACAATTCTAATTAAACTTACTTAATGAACGTGTCTCGCAGTGTGACGATGACAAAGGATTAATATGAGTTCTACTACAGCAGTGCAACGAAGGATGTTTTGATTTTTCTGTAAGGCTTTCGCAAAATTTTTTTTTCATCAATATACAAATTATGTGTAGGCTTTAATGATTTAATGTTAACGGATTATAAGGAAGGAAAAGGAAGAGAGCGATGCTACTTTCCAGAAACGAAGCAAAAGGATCTTCCTTTCGAAATTAGACTTAATGGGTTATATGCAGTCCAGATTGCTCTTTCTAACGGATACGAAATAATATTTCATCACTTCTGTCTTTTAAAATTTTCAATTGTTTAATTACAATGTTTTAAATCCGTACGTTTACATATAAATGAATAATGTGTAGACAGATTGATTGTCGTGAATTTATTTCAATAATGTATTGAGTAAGATTCATTTGCTTTTATATTTCATCGAAATGAAGAGAAAGAGAAAGCTTGATGATAGTGTTGATGACAGTGATGATGATGATAATGATAATGATAATAATGATGATGATGATGATGGTGGTGGTGGTGATGATGATGATGATGATGATGATGATGATGATGATGATGATAATAATAATAATGATAATGATAATAATGATGATGATGATGATGATGATGATAATAATAATGATAATGATAATAATGATGATGATGATGATGGTGGTGATGATGATGATGACGATGATGATGATGATGGCTCACTGACTGGTCATTACAGTGCAAAAAGGTGGTAAAGAAGGAAGAAAAACCGGATTCACTGGGGCGATCTTCTCTTTAATCATCATCCTTTCCCGCTAGTCCCGCCTCTCACCCCATTTTTTCCCTAATCAGCTTTGCTTCTTTTGCCCATCCATTTTCTCTTATTCCTTCATTTTCTTTTCGGGAAAAAAAGGAAATTTTACAGTGAGTTGAAGTGATTCTACCTGTTGTTTGTAAAACATTGGGGGTCCAACCAAAGAGATGCCAGTAGGCAGGTTTTCTGTACCCTTTTCTCTGAACCTTTATCGCCGTATCACTTAGAGTGTGCCCTTCACTTTTCAATACATTTTCAACAATAATCATTTGCTGTTTCTTCACTATTTCATTTTTTTGTCAGTACTCTTCCTGTGGAAAGACTTTAATGTAGAAAAGTAATAATATATATGTTTAAGGCACATTTCTTCTTTTAGAACATTAAATTGTGACTCTTTTTGAAGTTATATATCTGCTGATAGTACGTGGTAACATTTCTAATGATACGTGATATAATTAATAAGATAATTTTTGTTGCACAAAATGGTTAGTGTGCAAGAAGCATATTTTCGCAAACATTTCAGACTAATGTCGAATATTCACTAACATTTTTCGCGCCACTAGCCACTTAGAATATCAGCTTCAGCTGGAGACAAAACTTGTTTTGACAAACACGAGAACAAATTAAGCAGAGAAAATGGATGTGGCACGTGAAAGCCAACTTGAGAAAGTCTGAATGCACGTTATATTTCAAAGTAAGAATAATTTTAAGAACTATGGGAAGAAATTGGAATTATCTATTAATAAATTTTATCATATAATGAATTTCACTGATTTTCAGTTTCTAGCTGGAACAAACATGAAAACACCTTACTTTTTCCTTACCATGCAATTTCTGTTACCTGTTCAATCTACTGATCAATCCTGAACATGTCAAGCGGTTTAATCCATTGATTCAGGTCTCTTAATCTAGCTTTATTACATAGCCAAGACTTTATTAGTGATCTATCAATGGCTTTCATAGGATTTAATAAGCCACTGCTAATGTCTCGATTGCGTAAGAAAAACTGCAATGAAAATGAAGAAAATTTCAAGTTAACGAGTTAATTTAAGATTTTGCGATGAAACTTGCTAGTTAATTGGTTACGGTCCGTGATATTCGATGTGCTTTCGCTATTTCTCAAAATTATTCTTACTTTGTTGTTTCTATGTATCACGCACCCAGGCTTCCTCATTGCGGCCTTCAAGTATCAAATCCATTTTCTCCATTTATTCTACTCTTGCATTTATCCTAGCTAATGCTGTTTTTCGATTAGAACTGATAAATCGAGTAAAGCAACATTAAAAGTGGAATTTAGTGAGCTTATGCATAGTAATTTTCAAGAATGTATATGTCTGCAGAAATGTATCGTCTACTAAACATCAGGTAGTGTTATTTACTTAAGTTTCAAATGCTTTAAAAGAACCCGAGATTAAGTAGAAAAGTATAAAAGGTTTGGGCTAATTTCAAAAAGAATTACTGAACGAAGAATCGAAAACAGATTATAAATATAATTGTTACAATACATGTTTTTCCACTTAATATAACACTCTATCAAACTGTCATATATGATTTGTTCACAAGTACATTTGAGAATATTTATCTGTGTCAAATATGGTTGTCTGATGAAGAGAAGTACGTCAAGATTCTTCTCTCCTGGTTTCTTTATATTGTTTGAAAAGTATCTTACGGCAAAATAAAAAGTATTAGCAGGTTTTAGTTTGAAATATCAGAGCACTTGCAAATATTATACTTATTGTGCCTGACCTAAGGATAAGGGAGACGTTGAAATAGCTAGCTATCGTGATATGCATTAGCATTATATTCTGACAATAAAATACTGTAGAAATTTCAGTTGAAGTAACATAAAATAAATTTTTTCATTTACTTGTTTCAAATATCTTAGCAAAGTTAGTAGTACCAATAGTTTCTGAACTGGAATTAAATGCAAAGTGAGGTGGCCATTATGCGGAAAAGCCACCGAGACCGAGTAATCCGTGAGATACTGAAGTTACAGTCTATTACACTTCAAATTCTGAAACAACAGTGCGAATGAATTAAAAATTCTCTACACTGCACTACAGAAGTATTACCGTGTGCAAAAGAATGCTTATGTGTCTTCTTGTCACCTTTCATTTTTACGGATTTATTTTTTTATCTGATGATAAAGCGTAGAAAATAACGGGAATAAGTAGTGAAGTGAAGTGACAAGAAGTAATGAGTGAAAACGAAACTTAGCAGACATGAGATGGTTCAGGACAAATGACCTGTCTGATTGGTATCGCATTTTACGAGGCAGACAGCTATCAATTCCACTATTTGCCGCTGATAGGTAGCGAAGAACATTTATGACAAAGAATAACAGAGAATAGGAAGAAAATATAGCAAAAAGATTGTAGTCAGGCAAGTTCCCACCATTTATAGGCCGTAGAGCAAAAAGAGTATAATTTGCAGATGGAAAAGCACTTTATAGATACAAAAATAATCACGCCTGTGAAAGTTCTAGGCAAGCCTGCTATCATTAATACTTGCCTGCGTCTATTTATATCTCTTTTGAGAGATATCAGTACAATGGCAGACTTTTGCCCCTTCTGTCACACCTATCCATCTCCATCTTTCTTTTTCTTTAAGGAACTTTGAAGGGCATTTTCTGCCTTCATCGTCGAAACAATCAAAGTCTATACTCCTCTGATACATGTTGTTATAGCATATAGATGGGATGCAAGGAGCATACACACTCTCTCTAATAATCATGTATTTTTTATATATATATGTAGATATGTGTGTGTTTACGTATGTATGCATGTGTGTATATATTATGTACACCTGTCTGTCTGAGACTTTTTGAAGGCATTGAAATGTTCCAATAAATTTTCAACTGTTAATAAAGGACAATATCTGAAACCTATCTAGTTCTGCCTGCGAACTTCATATAGACAATATCGGGATACCCGCCTGATGATAGACTGATGATTAGACTGATGATTGGAATAGCAGGTAGGTAATAGAGAGGAAGGAATAGCGGAGGAGCAGTTTCTCATAGGGAGGAAGCCATGATCTATGTATGCTCACTGCTTGGGAAATACCCTTTCCTCTCCCTGCTCTGTGCTTCTTCATATTTTCTCACTTCCTCTCATCATTCATTTTTTATTCCTTGCACTGTCAAGAATTTTCTCACGCCTTTTCACATTATGCAAATAATGAATATGAAAATTACTGAGAGGTTGCAATTTTCTCTAAGAAAATTTTTGGATTATTTACGAATTCTTCTTACTTCTGAAATCTCTAATAATGGAAGTGTTGATTTGTGTTAACGGTGAATGTCAAAATTACTGGATAAGTTGAAGTTTGGTAGAGATATGGCTTGAGATAAGTTTTGAAATAGGTAGGTAATTTCTTTTAATGTAACAAATTTCATTTGAAATGTAAAATGTATACTTTGCTTCACTGCACACATTGCACTCATCACTTGTTTGTAGGCAATAATGAAAAAATAACAGTTTAATCGAAGTATTCTAAAATATTAAATTTTGAATTACTCTCGAAATTACCATTTGATAGTAATTTTCAATCTAATTTGAAGGAAAGAATCAAAGGATAAATCATTACAATTGTCCTTGTCCATGTAGCAATAAGCGGTTTATCGAGATAATAGCTGAACAGAGTAGATATTTAATCGATGAAAAAAATAGCTACCGAATCAATTTAAAAAAAAATTTTGCCATGACTACTTCTGAAATTAAAAGTTTGAAACACCAATGGTCATAAACTTCTACGCTTCAATATCCTTGTTTCCTTTTCGAATCCAATCACATTTGAGTTGATGATTTTTAATCACTTTTTATCAACATTAGTCATAAGATTATCGGGTTTTCCAGTTACAAGTACTAAGAGACGAATGGGAACCAAAACTCATAGGATTATTTCATTCGTAGTGTATTAATCAAAACGAAAACTGTTGAAATTTGTAAGTTTCTATTACTTTTTTTCCAATTAGCGTATTTCCTTTATTCATAAAGCATATTTTTGTCTATTTGAAGTGAACTGATATGCAAAATTTTTTAATTGAGATCTTTTAAATAATTGCTATTTTGCCACATCTATAAGTAGCCTTAAAGCAGTACACTTCCAACTCCATGTTACTAAGCTTTCGCGATCGTTGAACTTATCCTCTTTCAGGAAGATCATTATCAGAAATGTTTTATATTCTGAATCAACAAATAATCAAGAATGTAGGAATAAGAGTGTTGCTGATTTCTTGAAAGTTATAAAATCATTTACTTTTTTCAACAATGGAATATTTGAACTGCAAAAGGTAATATGTTTCCATTAAGAGAAGTTACCATTGAGAAGTTCATTCTTCTGATTTGAGAGTTTTACTGATTTTGTAAAAAAGTGGGTTCGTAGGTAACAATGGATCAGATTTTTGGAAAAAAAAATGCGAATTCAGTCGACATAAAATAATTTCAAACTCATCATTATAGTGTTAGAGAAAAGGCAAAATTTTGATATTAAACTGAAGATGAGGTTAAAAGTCATTGTTCAGAATGAATTGTTTCCTGGAATGCTAAAAGCTGCTGATCTTATTTTGAGCCAAATGATCTGACCATCCATTCGCAAAAAAAAACTACTTTTAATTAGAGGCGATTAATTAAAGCTAGACGGAATGTCAGAACATCCAATTTACGTCCCTGATATTTCAAGACATTTTTGTCATCATATCCTATTTTTTAATTCCCTTGAGTTAATTCTCATCTATGATAATAAGAATAAATCACATCTCATTGTTAAGAGATTATTCAAGCTGGCTGAATAAACCAAATTTTCGTCCTTTATCGGTGATTCCTTCGTCTGAATTGCACTTATAGTTTAATATAAAACCCATTAATATGCGTCCTTCGAACTTTTGTTCTCTCTTAATTTAGGAAGAGGATAAGTCGTTCAATTTTTCTTTTTAAATTA